GTCGTATCAGCAGTGTCTTCTTTCCTTGCTCAATTATTCATAAATTAACGTTTATACGTGAGATGCCTTCCCTGATAGCACAAGTCTCAGTTATGTCTCAGTTATGTTGCAGTTATGTTGCAAAGACGTTTCAATGTCTGAGACTTATGTGCTATCAGGGTTTCTAAAATCTGTAATTTTTGCGTTTAAATTTATCTAAATTGTATAGTCTTACGAGACAAGTTTTTTTTTAAACTTCACGTTTTAAACTGGAGTGGAAATTAAACGCTTGAGATAAAAGGGACGAAGACAGGAGAATCCTTCGTTGGAACTCGCCTTCTCCGGCGTTCTCAGACTTTTGTTCGCCGTCGTGAAGTCGCGCGATCGCGGCGAAACGGATATTTCGCTCTTATTGCAAAACACGCCGATCCGCGGCCCGCGTTCGATCTAATTACACGGTAGGACGAGTGAGACCACCGTGGCACAAATGTCCGCCAACGTGCGGTCTAATGGACACCCCCTTCCCCCCCCTCCGTCGTTTTCTGTGCCGCCAGACCGCTACTCCGTTCCGAAGAAAGGGAAAGACATGCCTTGAAACCGAGATGCTTGAGAAACGGCCGGCGTAAATGGGGTAAAAAAATTTCAAGCTCAGTGTCAAATGAAACATTCCCTGTCGGCTGGAAACAGCTGCGAGACCGTTCCTTGTTTTATCGCGTATCAACGGAATTGATTCTTCGATTCCCGTCCGAAGCGCAGTACAGAGGCTTTTCGTAGAAAAGAATCGGCGCGCCATCCCGGACGGATGGGTCGCGGCGGCCGTGGGAAAGAAAAAAGAAGTTTCGCGGATAATCGCGAATTAATCACCATTATATCCTCGCAGCGTTGCGGCCGGTCAGGCGGACCGACGCGCAAGCATTATTGCGTCGCACTTGGTTCACTTTCCCTCGAAGAAAACGATAATGCCGAGCGCGCGCAATCGGACGGAGTGGCGTAGAAGGCGAAGGTAGGGAGGTCCATAATCGAGAGGCAATGGCCTGTGACGGGACCGGCGGTGATCGCGGGCCAGCGCAACCGGGTCCATCCGTTACGTGGTGGAACGAACGTATCCAGCGAAAACCGATCGGGCCGAGATTGCCTCTCGCGAAGAAATCGCCGAATCTGGGCGACGTTTCGCGAGAAAGGCGGAGAAAGGATATTTCCAAATTTTTACGTAATCTCTGATAATATAACAATGTGGAAAATGTCATTTTTAACAATGCAATGCTACAGAAAGTGCATGTGGAACGACGTAGGTCTCCGACGAGACTCTTCTTGGCAGACAAAATCCCATCTCGATTCTCAAATCAATTCTGGCAGTTCAATTCTACGTGGATAGACTTTCCTCGAATATCCTGAAAATCATGTAATCGCGGGACAACGCGGCGTCCCGAAGAGTTTTGTGAGAGCTTTTTGAAATTTTACCATACACTTTTTTAGTAGAGGAAAGTCCCCTGTTATGGGATAGCGGAGTTTCTGCAAAATTAATAGACATCATCTGTCGGCTCCGCCATGAATTGATTGCCCTTGGAGTGAAATCAGTTCAGTGAAAAATTTATTGTGTAATCGATCAGATCTCGTTGCGAAAAAAGATCTGGGATTGAATTTCAACGTTGAAAACCTACTATCTCATAATAGAGGACCTCTAGACTTAAAATACATTTTACTGGTAGAATGTATGACAAAATTTGAAAAAAAACCCTCATAAAGTCCTTCAAAATGCCACGTTGTCTCACGACATGATTTTCAGGGTAAATTTTAAGAGAAAATCGTGCAGAGCAAACGGTTCCTTGTTGTAGACAAGAAGAGACCCGCGCGGGATCGCCATTCTTCGAATTTTCATTTCTCCGCGCTCCTTCGCCAGCCTGATCCGATTAAATCATCGATCAGCGAAAGCGGATATGCGTAATTGGTGCGATCGCGCAAAGCCGCGGTCGGCGGATGAATCCGTATGCGAACGAGAGTGAAGAAACCTGCGACAATCGCGCGTGGTTAAACGTTGCGTAATTTTTCACGCGGCACATTTATCGGCCGTGAAGAAGCGAGTTAATTGGATCGGCGCGCCCGAGCTAATCGAATCCATTATCGCGCGCGTGGGAGAAAATTCCCCGTCGGCTCTTCTTTGCCGAGGAAGCGACTATTACGAGGTGCTGTCGAATTTATTATTCATCCGCTTCGATCTACCGCAGGGAGGGGGGAGGGGAGGAAACCGGGGCCGCTAATTATTCGCGAGAAAAGCGATGGACGGCGGCGAGCGCACGCGAGCGTTATTACTGCCTAATGATCTAATTTCAAGCGTCCCACTTCATGACCGAAGCCCGCAAAGAACGCAAACGTAATGAATTCTAACGAACGGCCGTTGTCGCCGAAACATTTCGTTGTTGCGACATCAAGTATTCAAGACGCAAGATCGATTCTCACCTTAAACGGGCGAGGGGCAAAATTGACTTTCCATTATTGACACGTGGGAAATATTCAATTTAAACGCGTGCAAACTGCAATTTTACTTGTACCTTTCACCGTTCGATTCCACCTCATTTTATCCGCTACTTACCGGCCTCTGATAAATTAAGCATTTATTATTTCCTTCGTTAAGTGCTATATGTCTTCATGAGATAAAAGTACAGTTCTTTTATATGTTATGCCCGGCATTAATACGCTTTCTCGAAACAGAATAATATTAATTTTCGCGATGGTTGCTTTGCACAATTAAGCTTCCTGTTGCGCGCGTTTTTTTTTGTTGTTTTTCTTCGCGCGAATGTAAAAGCAATTCCGGCGAGCTATAACCCGTTCGGCTGAGAACGATTCGACCAGAAACCTTTTGCGAGATATATTATCCAATGTTTGACGAACCGTGATAAAGTCTCTCCCGGGCTCGCGTTACGCAATTTTTACTAACGAATGGCGAAAATGCTGATTAGGCGGCGGCTCTTACGTCACTCTCGTTAATAAAGGCACGCCGCGTTCGGCCGCGGAAGTTTAAAAAAGACCGGCGACCGGGCGGAAATGCAAGGCGCAATCATCATCGCAACGAGTCGTGAAGCCGGTTTTTTTCCCCTAGATCGCTGTTCCGTCGGCCGCATGCACAGACGCGTAATTAAAACACGGTTTGACGATACGCGCTAATTACGA